TTGTTAATAGTGATGCTATTGCTGAAAAATCTTGTACAAATTTGTGATAGTAGCTTGCTAAGCCTAGGAATGATCTCAACTCAGATATATTTGTTGGTTTTAATTATAGTAATTTTGTATTAATCAACTGAGATTTCATCTGCTGAAATAAAATAATCAAGATATTCAATATACTGTTTAATGAGCTTATATTTCTTCAATTTGACATATAATTTGTTCTCTTGCAATACTTTCAATACAGTTTTTAAATGTTGTAAATGCTCTTCTTTGATTTTGCTATATATTAGAATATCATCCAAATAAATAATAATGAATTTATCTAAGTATTGTTAAAAGATATTATTCATGAGTATTATGAAAGTTGCTGGAGCATTTGTTAATCCAAAAGATAGAACTAAGAATTCAAAGTATTCATATCTTGTTCTAAATGTAGTTTTGTGAATGTCTTCATTTGCAATACAAATTTGGTGATATCCAAAATATAAATCAAGCTTTGTAAAGTATTTTGATCCAACTAATCTATCCATGAGTTCATCTACATGAGATAATAGATATTTATTCTTGATGATGATTTTGTTGAGTGTTCTATAATCAACACATAGTTTCAAAGTTCCTTTTTTCTTATGAACAAATAATACTGATGCTCCAAATGGTGATATACTTGGATGAATAAAATCTTTATTCAACAAGTTAATTAATTGAGTTTTCAATTCATTCATTTCTACAAATGACAATCTATATGTTGAATGAGATGGTGATTTATTTTCAGGTATCAAATCAATTTTGTGATCAATTGCTCTTGTAGGTGAAAGTTTTGCTAGTAGTTTTTTTGGAAAGACATCTGAAAATTGTTAAATTATTTTATGTGCTTTTGGTGTTAATATATTTTCTTTGTCTTCAATATTAGATAAGCATATAGCAAATAATTCAGTATTGTTTGAACAATTGGATAATTGTTGACAAGAGATATAGATAAAATTACAACTAGGTGAATTTGAATCAATGTCTGCTTTGACTTTAATAGATTTGTTATCATAATTAAAAATCAAGATATTATTTCTCCAGTTGATAGTTGAATTAGTATGAAAAAGCCATGGTTTTCCAAGTATCAAATTATAGTATTGTAAATTGAGAACTTAAATATTGATTACAGAGATTTTGTAAGCATTTAATTTTAAATTTTGAATATTGACTGTAGTTGTAGTTATAATCTTTTTGTTATCAGCCAATTCTACTGTGCTTGATTGTATTTTTTAAGCTTTAATGTAATTCTTTTGAACAAACTTTTTATTAATAAAATTTCTTGATGCATCACTATTTAGTAAAATTCAAGTATCTTTTTCATTGACTTGTTCATTAAATTTCAATAATCTTTCTTTGTTGTCAGCAATGTAAGTGAATTCTACTCTTTCATTTTGTTATTTTATAGAAGATTCTGCAATTTCTTCAATGTTATTCATTCTTGCTTTGCCTTTTGAATAGCAATTTTTAGCGAAGTGACCTAGTTTGCCACATTTATAACAATTGTCTTTGACTTTATTATTATTAGAATTATTAAAAGTAAAATTTTTTTTGAATTGCTCAGCATGATCCAATTCCATGGATGTACTTGTAGAACTATTTGGTGTATTACAACTAAATTGTGGAGTTCTTTTGAATGATACTTTGTGAGAGAAATTATTATTGAGTGGTTTGCCAGTACCAAATATAGCTGTGTTATATCTAATAGCTAATTTCTATGCATCTTCCAATTTTCTGGTACTTGATAGCTTACTTTCATTTTTGTTGCTGGTTCAATTCATCAATAAAATAAATAACTTGATCTAAATCATCCATACCTTCTATTTGTTCAACAAGATTTCTGAATTTGATATTATATTCTTGAACTGTATCAGTTTGATGAAGTTGTTTAAGTTGTCTTCTCAAATGTTGTTGATAATTTGGTAGTTGAAAAGCATTATGTAATTCTTAAGCAAAAGTATCAAAATCAGTAAAGATGAAATTGGTATTATTAATGTTTGTCTTTAATTTGTTGAGATATCAGTGAAAGATTACATTTTCAAGTCCAGTGGATGCATAATTTATTTTTGCTTCATCATTGATGATATATTGAATGGTGAAGATACTTTCAATTCTCAATAACCAAACCAAAACATTTTTATTTAATTCACCTTTGTAGATTAGAATTTTAACTGGAATTTTTGAATTGTTATTTTCATCATTATTATTTATAATAGGTGCTTGATCACTTTCACTGTCAGTAACATTTTCATCTTGTTGTTGTTGTAACTATTGGAGCTGTTGGTTTTGTATTTCCAATTGGTTTTGATGAGATTGAATAGTGTCAGTAAGATTTTGTTGTCATTTAAGCAAAGAGACAAATCCATTCATGAATTTTTAAAATTATTGTAAGTTTATTGTTTGATGAGTGTAAAGTGTGAATGTTTAAAGTGTGTGTGTATAAAGTATGTGTGTAAAGTGTGTTTGTAGCTTTAATAATCTTTATCTGCTGCTATCAAGTTGTAAGAATACTTTCTTACATGAAAAGTAATAAGATAAATTTATTAATTGCTATAAATAAATTATATCAATTGAAATAGTTTTTAGTTTTAATTTTAATAAAACTTATTTCTTTATTTATTAAATAGTGAAAAGATCTAAAGAATTATAGTACAGAACAGAGACATTTAAATACATAATTGAGATTTTACAAATTACAAATAAATTAATAATAAAATAGAGAGAGATTGGTTCTAAATTATTAATCTTAAAAATAACGCATCTCCAAGTTATGCTGTACTTAATGAAATATATATAAAATATAAATAATAATAAAAGATAATTAATATGAATTAAAAATAATAAAAGAAAAAGAAAAGAACAAATAAAAAGAAAGGTAATTAAAAATAATATGTATCTAAATTAATAATATGATCTATATTTTACATCTAATCTATTTAGCACAACATTAAAAAATATTAAATGTAGATCTGTGTTAATTTCTAACATGTTATGCAAAAAATGATAAATATAACATGAAAAATGATAGATATGATACAAAAAATTACAAGGGTATATGAAAATTGTTACACTTAGATGTAGAACAAGATTATTAATTATGATGTAGTTAAATTTCGTGTAATTTAGAAGAGAATCAATAATTTCATATTATTAGTAAAGATCTATTATACCATATGTTGTATCACAACTATATCATATCACGTCATATAGCACATTACTGTGTCACATTGTGTCACTGTAACATGAAAATATATATAAATACAAGTGCTGATAATTAATAAAAATCAAGTTCTTTTGGTTCAATTTAAGTTCTTAAGTTTTAATTTTGAGTTTTTTTTGGTTTAATGTTAAGTTGGCATGTTTAATTAATTTTATTTAAGTAATTTTTGATTAAGTTTACCTTTTAGTTTAGTCTTGTTATTAGTTTAGTCTTATCTTTGTTACCTTTTATCTTGTTAAGAAATATCATTTTATCATCATAAACACCATTCAGTTATAAAAATTCAAAGTAAATTGCTGTAAACACAGTCACTATTGTCATTTTAAAATACTTTTATATGCAAAAGCTCAAAATAATAATAATATATAAATTATGATTTTATAATAAATTCAAGTAACTATTTGAATTAATTAAAAACTATTAAAATATTGTTATTTTTGATATATAGAAAGAATATTTTTCTTTCATATAAAAGAGAAATAATACTGTTAATTAAATTGTATTTAATATAAGTTGATTTTGCTATTAGAATTTGAAGTATTAAATACAGTTAAATTTCTCTATAGTTACACTTATTTATAGTCATATCTCTTTATAATCACTCTATTTTGTTTTCCTATTTATATATAAATATAGTAAAAAAAATCTCTCTATAATTACATTCTCTTTATAATTATCAAATTTTGCTTTTCTAAGAGTGATGACTATAGAGAGATTTGATTATATATATTTTATTTAAGGTATTACAAATAGAGATAGTGCAACAAGTATGTGACACTTATTTGTTACCTGTTGCAACATGTTGCAACTCCAAAATTTTATAAGCTACAACTAGTTACAACTAGATGATGCTTTATTTATCATCATGTTGCAACAGTTATCATACCATCTTTAATTATAAATAGAAAACTAGTAAAATCATTATTATTAAAACAAATATAAAGTTTAGATATTTTGCTTTTTGAAAGAATTTCTGAAATATTATTGAAATTATAGATAAATGAATAATATAAAATTATATTATAAGTACAGTCAAATCTTTTTATAGTCATATCTATTTATAGTCACATAATTATCTTACTTTGCTTTCTTATTTATATATAAATATAATAAAAAAATCTTTTTATAGTCACATTCTCTCTATAATTACCAAATTTTGCTTTTCTGAGAGTAATGACTATAGAGAGGTTTATAGATAGTTGGATATTTTGTTTGACTACTTTTTTGAGTTGTATTATTATTTTGTTACAATTAGTTTTTAAGAATACTCTATTTATTATATATATTACTTGCTTTTCAGTTATATATTTTCTTGATAGAAGATTAAAAATATGTAAAGTTTCCTATAGTATTTGATCAATTTGTTGTTTGAATTTTCTGTCAGCACTAATTAAGACTTCTAGATATTTGATTACTAGTTTTTCTCATGAATAAATAAGAGTATATTATTGTTTCTGATAATTAAGATTGTAGATTTATTTGTTTTATTAGAATTGTATGTAATAATTTCACACTTTTGTGAGTTAATATTAATATTACATATTTTATAGAATTGGTTAACTAGCTTTAGGATTTCTTGTATGTGAGATTTTTTATTGATGATTCAAACAATATCATTCACAAAAACTAGATTAATAATATGAAAAATTTTGAATATGAATTTATAATATAAAAACTGAATTAAATTATTGTTAATATTATATTCTGATATTTCTTTGAATATATCTATATTATATAATAATATGTTATAGGATATGTATTAAAGAATTGGAGTATTTATTTCTTCTTGTGTCGAGCTATGTTCTATTTCAGGCAAGGGATCGGGAGTAATATCTTTATCCTCATCAGACTGACCCTCGATAGGTGGTGAAATATCTTTTGTAGAAGATACTTCCTGTTCATTAGTAATGACACGGGTCTGCTTTTCTGCGAAGCAGGGCACTTTGTGCCTGATTTCCTCAATATCGTGTCTTAATTTTGTTACTTCGGCTTTAAGCTAGATTCTCAGCTTCGCGCCTGGCACTTTCTTCTATCATTTGTTTTAACTTCGCATTCTCACACTCAAGCTCGATGACTCGTTGTCTCAACAAATCCAATTCGGATTGCATGCTTGATAATAACTTTTATATAGATGCGAATTATTCAAAAGTTTAATCACAAAAAATATTGATGCGAAAAATTGCGCTAATGCACCTTTGCTTTATTGGTTATAATAAAACCGAAAAGGAACAAATCTATCTATCTATTGTTTCTACACTATTGCCTATGCTATAAGTTTCATTTGTCTAAACTATCTATGCCAACATACATATTATCTCAATATTAACTATAATCCGGTTTCGATGTTCTGAATAGAACATACCTGTACATAAAAAAAGTGAAAATTACCTGTCAATTTATTTTATATTTTGTTTATTACGTGAATCATTCTCAGTAGCCTTTAATGGCGATTCGTAAACAATAGAATCATTTATATGTTAAGATCCACCACGTTTAAATTTTTTGTTCGATTTATACAAAAATTCCATATGGGCCTGCAATTTCATGATGCGGTTCTAATGATATAATAAAAAGTACGTTAAGATTACTTTAAAAGTAATAATCGAACCAAATGATAAAATTTGTTACCTTAAAATTGATCATTATTTGAATGATACCAGATAGATTCTTTAGATCCAGTGATGTATCGGGAATCGCAAACCCATCAAATTGATCAACAAGATATATTCCGTCCACCCAATGCATCGAATACATAAAAAATTCTTTTCCTAAATTATTAAAGTATATTTGAGATTAGTAAACATTATAAAAAATTAATAAGCTAGACATTACATACTATTTACGAGTAATCCAAAAGTTTCCAAATCTTCGAGACCTGGAGCCTTTTCAGGAAATGATTTTCGAAGGTTAAAAAGAGCCAATTGCATAGCTATAGATAAAAATAATCATATTAGTGATTTTAACAAAAATAATTAAAGTTATATATTGAGATTATGCTTTTTACCTTTAAGTATTTTTTCTTTATCATCATTGTATTTCTTGTCATCACGTTTGAAAGCATTTCCAGTTACCTCCCCAAATGCTACTTGAACCAACTTGCCTCCAACTTTCATGACTAAAACAGCATCATGATGCCAAGTTCCAGTTGATTTACGTTGATCCAAATTTCTTGATAGGTCCAGTTGTTTTTTTCGGTCCGCATTTTCGACTTCACCTCTGATTAGAAATAAATACACATAAATATAAAACCTTCTTAGAAAGTCAACCTAAAATGAAATTACTTACGTCTTCATTATGGCTATGACATTTACATCGAAGAAAAGTTCCTCCCAAATATAATTTATAATCCGGCTTCTATACGCATATTCAGATGCATCCGGATCACATAGAGGGCTGAACGGTGTCTGAAGACACAATATACTACCAATTATATGCATTAGTATATTAGTTAAATGAAAAATTATAGAATATGTTTAAAGTTTCTTACAAAGCATTATATACTAATTGTACCCATCGAAGATGATAGTCTCTTTCGAACAGATACAAATGCTGATCTTCAAACGGGCTTTTACAAATGATGCCTTCGACTTTATTTAAATCAACATAACATTTGATGGTGGCATCTTTTATACACTTGCTATACTTCTCTAAAAGTAATTTTACGTTTTCATCAATCTGGGGAAGCGAATCCGCGATCCTTTTTTCAACCTAAAAATAATATCCACGTTAAAATAAAAGTAAAATCAACTAAAAATAAATAAAAAATAAAACCTTTTCCCAGTTCGATTCCATTATTGACCACTCTTCGTTGGTAAATAAGCGCTTAATTGGACTATGAATATTATCTTCTGATAAAAATAAAATCCGATATCTTGCAATAGTATCTTCACTATTAACAAGCCTTTCGATAGCCGAATTTAATGAAGTCTATTGTGAGATAAAGGCTTATTAAATAACAGACAATAATGAAATATGTAAAAGATAGAGATTTCGGACCTCAACTGATGACAGTTCCTGGTAATACATGTTATCCGTATCCTGTTCAACAGCAAAATCTGCATCTTGTTCATTTTTATCAAGTTGAGGTGGCATAGTATCTCCAACTTGATATTGCTTCTTTATCGTACATCTCGTCTTTTTCTTAAAACATAATTGCTTTGATCAGAAGTTGATTCTCCCTAGGTGATATAACAAAGAAATATAGGTTTAAAGTTAGCAATCAAACTTGAAACGAACAGAATAAAAATATTGATCTTACCTTTTCGTGAAATTCGGCAGACCTTTCTATATAATAAGATGAAAGTCTCGATGTATTTAAATCACCAGACTTTTTTAGTAGTTCGAAGCTATTCTTATCAAAAGACCTCTCAAGATTTCGTTGATTTTGCCTCTACAAACGATAAATTAATATTTTCAAATATATATATACAGGGCCATATCATGCAAAACCGCAATTACTTACTGCCTCAAACTCCTTGTCCAATTCCGCAAAAAACTCGTCAATTTCCTTTCTTTGAAAAGTAGCACTGAAATTATCGGATATTTTTTTTAACCGTTTCTTTACCCCAGCATGTACAATAGACGAATCAATAATCCTCTCGACCGTTCTTGTAAGCGCATCCTGGATATCTTGTTTGCTATCTGATGTGAATACCAATTTATCTTTCAGATAATTAAGACAGTTTAGAACACTCAAGTCCTTAGGATTGGAATCGTACACATAGGTATCCGTATAATAATCAAATTCCATATCTAAAAAGAAGGTTACTGTTAGTGATATTAAACAACATAATTTTAATAGAATAATCTGTTGGACGATTACAATAAAACAGAAGTTTTAATGACAATATATATTCTGGAATAGAGGCCCAGGCTGAGGCACTAAGAGCCATTACGAACACGTAACGAGTCATAGCGATTTACCCACAGCATTCTAATCCAAGCATCGGCCAAAGGGCTAAACCATATGGGCGTAGGATAATATATTGTCGGTATACTGGAATAGAGGCCCAGGCTGAGGCACTAAGAGCCATTACGAACACGTAACAAGTCATAGCGATTTACCCACAGCACTCTAATCCAAACATCGGCCAAAGGGCTGAACCATATGGACGTAGGATACCATCAACGATTATAACTGTTGAAAAATACTTAACTGAGGATAGCGACGCGTTTTTTATTTTTACACGTTAACGCGTTTTTTAATTCTGATGTTGATCATATGACCAAA